ATCAGTTATTAAGCTTATCTAAAAATTTTAAATTTCAGATACTGTATTTTTGTTTCTAGAAATTTTATTTGATTATTTTTTAAATCTTCTATTTCTCAGTATGTTCATATATTTTTAAAATCTTTGAATATATATATGTATATATATATTCCCCCCAAAATGTATACACACACTTTGAATAATTATAAAGGCAGTGTTTATTAAAATACATTTCATTTTCATTTAATAGCTATAAAGCGTTAAAGTTTGTTTATATTTTTTTGGGATACCCTCTATATATATAAAATAACTGTTTTTACATCCTTGTTTGCTAAGTCCAGCATCTCTTTCATTTTTGGGTTTGTTTCTATTGACTAATTTTTCTTCTGATTTTAGGGTGATTTTTCTCTCTCCTTTTTCACGTGTCTAGTAATTTTTGATGAAATGATGGACATTATAAATATATGTTTTTCAGTGTCTGAATTTTGTTGTCTTTTTTTTGAAGATTTGAATTTTGGTTTACTTGTTGGTTAAGTTGCTAGTGGATCAGTTTGATGATTTCAAGACTTGTTTTTGAGCTTTGGGGCAGTTCTAGAGTGATCATTACTGTTGAGTTAGATTAGTTTAATTACAAGTGCTCAAGGATTTATGTGCAAATGTACTCATTGAAGGATTATTTATAGTAGCAAAAATTGTAAAGTCATGGCCTACTACCATCTTTCAAATAAGGAGTTATTAGGTTTTAACTGGACATTACAGTAAGGGACTGAGTATTGATTTGGTGCTTCCCTAGCGATATTCCCAGGTGTCTTGTTTTGGCAGTTGTATGACATAACCATGAGTATATTCTGTCTGTGTTAACATAGTATCCCTAGTTTGTCTGTACTCTGGAGACATGGTCATATAAGGACTTAGCAAAATCTGGGCATTTGGCCACATAACGAGAATGTGAAGACCACAATCTCTAGCCAAGTGATACAGTCTTTTTTATATAATAATTTTTAAGAAGTTTGGGATGTTGAAGCCCAGTATTAGCTAGAGCCTGGATCACATTAAACATGGAAGAAATTTCATTATAGACATAACTCCTTATCACAGGTGTACAAGTGTTAAGGTTAAATTCACTATATGAGTACTAAAGAGAAATATTACTTTGGATGTTAAAATGGATATTTTACAGTGGCTTGAGCCAGGGAAACACCTTCAAAAAACGAATCAGCTGTTAATTAGAGACTGATGGTAGACTTCTAACATCATGAAAGGTATTATAAAAGTTATTGTAGCCTGAGAAGAAATGACTCACAACTATAGGAATGAACAAAGCTGAAAGAAATTTTGCCTGGAGGCATGCCAAAACTTTAGAGATTATGAAGGGAAAAAACTACAATATAACAACATTAAAAACTGTGTTTTAATGATATGATGGCTTTAATTACACTGATTCCATTAATATTCCTATTTATAAAAATGTGTTCTCTCTGCTAAATAGAGTGGGCTCTAGTTACAGCCTTGGAAAGTGTCATGAATTAGTCATAAATGATTCTTGGTCACTTACATTTAAGCAGAAAAAGAAATTTATTGGCTCACATAACAAAATCCAGAGGTAGTATTGGCTTTAGGCACAGCTGGATCTGGGAATTAAAATAATCTCATTAGGACTCTCTTTAAAACAGTTTTGTCTGGCTTTCTTTTGTGTTAGCATCATTCCTAGGTGGGCTTTCTCACTTGTTGAAGATACCTTTTTTTTTTTTTTTTAAATATATCTTTATTGATTTCAGAGAGAGGAAGGGAGAGGGAGAGAGAGAGATGGAAACATCAGTGATGAGAGAGCCATTGATTGGCTGCCTCCTGCACGCCCCTGACTGGGTATCGAGCCTGCAACCGGGCATGTGCCCTGACCGGGAATTGAACCCCGATCGTCTGGATCCTAGGTCGACGCTCAGCCGCTGAGCCACACCCGGCCGAGCGAAGATACCTTTTTATAGTTCTAGGCTTATAAGATGCTTAAGGCCTATGCTCTCATGTAGTGAGGCCATCATTCGTAGCTTCCATGACACACCCCAACATGAGACACACACTGACCAGTTTGGGTTGTGTGCCCATGGGGTTGAGGAGGCATCACCAATTTGTAGAAGGCAATTCCCAAAAGAAAAAGAGGAATCCTAAACTGAAGAAGAGCAATAGATGCTGTGCAGGCAAAAGACAACAGAGGCCCAGCTATAATAATGGAAATGGAAGGAGGCTCATGTAAAAAGTACACTTGAAATATTATGGGTAAAATGACATGAGGCCTGTGATTTTATTTTTAAATATTCTGGGGGGAAACACGAATACAGATTGAAGACACAAAAATGGCAGAATTGATCAGTGTTCAAGTTGGGTAGTAAGTACATGAACATTCTTTGTATTATCTACTCTGCTTTGATGAGTGTTTAAATTTTTGCTTAAAAAATTAATGACAGAAACAAAGTACCAACAATAACAGCAGCAAAAAAAATGCAGTTTCTAATTGACTAAGGTTATTTACAAGAAGTAAAAGGTAAGAGAGATGCTGAGAGGGAAGATTATATGTCATTTATCCAGAATGTCAAGTCTCAGGATGATAGATCCTTTTCTTAAACAGCTGATTTATCTCTTCTTGGTGCTAGAAATGGTATCAGTCAGGGTCTACTCAGAAAAACAGAAGTCACTTGGTATTTCAAAGAGAGGGAATTTAATGTATGAAATTGGTTCCAAATGTTTTGGAAGGAATGGAACAGAAAAAGGGAAAAGAGGGGCCTGAGGGAGCCAGAAGAAGGATTCTAATCATAGATCAGAAGCTTCTGTGCCCCTGAGCTGGAGCCCACAAGTCTGTACAGGCTGCTGTGCAGTAGGAATTGCTGTCCCAGTTGTTGTGGATTTGCCAAGGAAGTGCCACTTCTATCAGAGATGGAAAGTCCAAAGGGTGGAAAGACTACTGCAGTCCAGACACACCAGCCCTGCTGCTGCTCCACCAACAGCCAGCAATTGCTGCATTTCCACTGCTCAAAGCAGGAAATTTCTTTTCCTTTTTCTGATCTCCTGTCAGTTCCTTCTATTGATAGAATCTAACAGGAAGCCAGCTGCAAGGAAGGAAGCCTGGGAAATAGCATTCGCAAAGTCATATCAGTAGCAAGTAGAATAGAGCATGGAGGGTGTTGAGCTGAGAGACAACAGACAAATGACCAGCATAGTCCAACATTTTTGGCTGCTTGGCATCTACACACACCGCTCTTCCCATATTTAAAATGCTAAACAACAAGTTTATGAGTTTGAGTTATAATATGCAGCTTTTTTCATACAAAGACACCCTCACGCTCTCCCCAAAATGGGTGATGTTAATTCTTCTTTTAGGTCAGTGACAATCTACTTTAATGGAACTATGCAATGTTTACCTGGTGTAAGCATTACTGTCTTGGGAGCCAAGATCGCTGCAGGGACAGAAAGGAAAAATGAGAGGTAAAAGTGAAAGGAGGCACTACCACTTTTTTCTAGAAGTGAGTATTCTATGGAAAAAAATAGCATCATGTTATGGTGGTAGTTAAAAGCATATACCACATCCCTTTGGATAACACTCCAATCTCTCAGGGTACCGTCTGTCAGAATGGGGCCAGAATGGAATATTCAGTTGGCCATTCCGCCATTTTATCAGGCAACTGCTTGTGGGTGATAGAGTACGTGGCAAGCTTCATGGTTCTAGAGAAAGAGGTCAGCCGACAAACACAGAACAGGTCATTTTTTTTTTTTTTTTAAATATATCTTTATTGATTTCAGAGAGAGGAAAGGAGAGTGAGAGAGAGAGATAGAAACATCAGTGATGAGAGAGTCACTGACCCCGCAACCCGGGCATGTGCCCTGACCGGGAATCAAACCCCGATCACCTGGATCCTAGGTCGATGCTCAACCACTGAGCCACGCCCGGCCGGGCAGAACAGGTCATCTTGCCCACCTGATTTCTGAGAGCCTCCTCAGCAGCTAATACCCTTTATTAAGCATTCACACAAGACACTAAAACCTCTTACCCTGTGCGCATTCCAAGAGGTATATCCATCCACCTACCTTTTCTTCATATGCCCTTCGGTTACCAACGCTTCTCTCTTGTTCTTTCTAAACCCTAGAGCATTTGACCGACTTGTTAGCCACTGTCGGTGAATCAGGGTAAAATCCGTACTGCTGTGTCTGTCTCTTTTGGCCATGCCAAGCGGACAACCAGATGCCCAGTGGGGGTATTTCCCTCCCCATTGCCTTTCAGGGACACTCCTGATTGGAGCTGTGATGTTTCAGCCATCCAGTTCCAGCCGATACCAGCACATTGTGCAGAACCATCTCTACATGAGGCCTTAACTTTTTCTTCCTCAGGCAGCTAGCTGTAGGGAACTCACTATGAGGCCATATGTGTTTGCTGAGGAAGGCAGCAATGTACTAGGAGTAAGTGCTGTGGGAACTGTGCCACCCGCTCGTGAACTTATTGGTGGATTCAGGACCTGTCCAGTCTAATCTTGTATATAGCACTTCCTCTTGACGGTGGAGTGCTGCTGCACATGCCCAAATGTATACTTTGGTGGCTTAGTAACACTCATGATAGGCAACCCAGGCATGGCCACTTGGTGTCCCGTGGTCAGCATCAAGCTCTGAGAGAGCCTGGTAGCTCAAAAAGCTCTTTTTCAAAAGGAGAATAGCTGGAGGGGTGAGGTGAGGAATTTTTTGTGACAACTCAACTGGTCTGCAGTGTACAGGAGCTGGAATTCCAAATCAAGCTACCTGGCTCTAGTGTCTATGCTTATAACTATAAGCTGGTCTGTATCAATTTTTATCTCTTTGACCATTTTTAACATACAGTGTATTCTGAAACCTATTATCCTTTGTGTCTTGGAGACTACCTTCTCTAAGAAGAAAGTGGTTTTCATGGAAAAAAGATAGAGATTTCTGATTGTAATTTTAGTTGACTCATCTTAGAAAAACAATGTGATTTTGTGCTTGGTAACCACGTGTCTTCTCTTTAGAATGGAGATCTCCTCTCATCAGTCTCAACTCTTGCAACAACTGAATGAGCAGCGCCGGCAAGACGTGTTTTGTGACTGCAGTATTCTAGTTGAAGGGAAGGTCTTCAAAGCACATCGAAATGTGTTATTTGCTAGTAGTGGCTACTTTAAAATGCTGCTTTCTCAGAATTCAAAGGAGACTAGCCAGCCGACCACAGCTACGTTTCAGGCTTTCTCCCCTGACACTTTTACAGTCATCCTGGACTTCGTCTATTCCGGCAAACTCTCTCTTACTGGTCAGAATGTCATAGAAGTGATGTCAGCTGCCAGCTTCCTTCAGATGACTGATGTCATTAGCGTATGTAAGACCTTTATTAAATCTTCATTAGACATTAGCGAGAAAGAAAAAGATCGCTATTTCAGTCTCTCCGATAAAGATGCCAATTCTAATGGTACAGAACGTTCCTCTTTTTATAGCGCTGGCTGGCAAGAAGGCAGCGGTTCTCCACATTCTCACCTGAGCCCAGATCAAGGAACAGGTGTAATAAGCGGGAAATCTTGGAATAAGTATAATTACCATTCAGTTTCCCAAAGGAATATTCAGCAACCCATGGCCAAGCATGAACAAAGGAAAGATTCCATTAAAAAGTCCAAACATCCAAGGTTGTCACAGCTTTCCGAAATTGCTCATTGTAAGTCAAGCAAGCGAGAGGCACGAACATCTGATTCTTCCAGCCACGTTTCCCAGTCTGAAGAGCAAGTACAGATTGATGCTGAAATGGACTCTACTCCTCTTGGCTGTCAGTACGGTCAAGGCTCTGATGTCACATCAAGAAGTTTTCCAGGTACCCTAAAAGAGATTCTGTCCCCTCACCCAAGTTCCAGTCCTCCTGTATAAATCAAGCCCATCTCAACAGGCCCTTACTTTTAGGTGTTGTGGGCAGTTGAACCAAGTGGTTTTTTTAAAGTTATACTTCTCTAATAAAATTTATTTCATAAAATATAAATTTAAAAATTTTGATTAAAGTGATATTGAAGAAATTTAATGACAGTCAAAACCATAGAATTCTGAGGGACAAAATCCATGCTTTTCCAAACCTGTATCTGTGGGTGATTAGATTACTGGTAAATGTTGAAAGCTCTTTTCTAAATGGTTCAATCCCTAAGATAAATGTTTTCACTTTAATTTTTTTTAAAGTTTTTTTTTTAATCCTACCCAAGGATATTTTTTCCATTGCTTTTCAGAGAGAGTGGAAGTGGGGGGGCGGAGAGAGAGAAACATCAATGTGAGAGAGAGACATCAATTGGTTCCCTCCCACACTCGCCCCAACCAGGCCGGGATTGAGCCTGCATCCGAGGTACATGCTTTTGGCCGGAATCGAACCCGGGACCTTTCAGTCCTTGGGCTGACTCTCTACCATTGTAGAGGGTTGTAGAGGATGGGTGAGCCAAACCGGCCAGGGAGACAATCAAGTTTTAATAAGATTTCTTCTCCGTTTCTTCTACCTTTTCAAGATTGGACTCACCAACTTCTTCTGCATTCCTTTTGTTACTAGAATTGTTATTATGAACTTTCCAGTGATTTAATCAAACTGTCTCCTGACAGATGATCTGCCCAGGATGAGATTCAAGTGCCCATACTGCACACATGTGGTGAAGCGGAAAGCAGACCTAAAGCGCCACCTTCGTTGTCATACCGGAGAACGGCCCTATCCATGTCAAGCCTGCGGAAAAAGATTTAGCAGGCTAGACCACCTAAGTAGCCATTTTCGAACAGTATGTATTTGATTTTTCATCATTTTACTTCTTAAATACATGCACTTATCTGCTTTAGGATAATCTAATTTATGATGGAAATATTTTCTCACAACTCTACCATATTAAAAGTTTTTCCAACTTAATGTATTTACTTTGCACATAATGCATAATTCAATATACATGTATTTTTTTATTCTTTGAAACCTTGAAGTCAGAGACATTCTTTTGAGTATCCATTTTAGTGTATTTAAAATGTAACAGGTTTTTATATACCGATCTTTTTGGAGCCAAAGACAATATAAACTAAAAATGTTTTAAATGTCTGGGTCAGAATCACTGCTTCAGATACTCAGCATCTACTGGTGACTCTTGGATCCTTATCTGGTAGAATCTCTAGTTTCAGCTGCCAGACCTCTCCGTATGACACCCCCTTTCTAGTGTCGCTCTAGTTTCTCTATAGTCTCCTCAGGGAAGGCAGCAAGGTGGGTAGCAGAGCCATTTCCAGTCAGGCACTGGACTGTCAGCAGTCAGAAAAATCTCAGGGAATTTGCTGGTCAATGCCCTAGTGGTATACTAATGTAGTAATATTGGAATATTATTCTGCAACAAGAAGATCATAAATGTGCTCTTACCTGTGAAAGAGCAATATTCCTGTGAATATTCATCTTGCAACAAGAAGTTTTTCCAAAATCTGTTCTATTACGTGTACTACAATTCCATTGATAAGAGATCTTTTTACTTTTAAAGGACACTCGGTCCCTTAAAGTAATTTCTTCATGCATTGCTTTATAGTTATTTACTCAAGAAATATAACTGAGTACGTACTATGTGCCAGACCCTTTTCTAAGTGCTAGTTATATAGCAGTGAGCAAAACAAAATGTTTGCCTTTATTAGTATCGTGAAGATAACCCCCGAATTAAGATATGTAATATCACTAGAATAGTACATGGCATATATTAAGTGTTTGCAATTGTTATTATTCTGAAAAGGTGTCTTGTATTACCTCACATTATCAAAATACTATTGGATTAAGGGATATGTGAAATTGTAAGTATGTAATGTTAATCCTAAAAACATAGTACTAGCTGGTTTGGCTCAGTGGTTAGAGCGTCAGCCTGTAGACCGAAGCATCCCGGTTCAATTCCGGCAAAGGACACGTACCTCGGTTTCCGGCTTGCCCCGGTCAGGGTCTGTGTGGGAAGCAGCCAGTAGATGTGTTTCTCTCACATTGATGTTTCTCTCTCTCTCTTCCACTCTCTGAAAAAACAAAGGAAAAAAAATCCTCAGGTGGGGATTAAAAACAAAAAAACAAAAAACATTATAGCCATTATTTAGAGAAAACCGATGTGTAATATTTCTGTGACATCAATTTATCACCAAAACCTGTATCTTTTTCTAATAACTAGATGTTAATTTAATATTAATGCTTAGCTTTGAACATCTTAAGTTTATGAACTGCTACCTAGAATAACAAATTCTCCTGCTTTTTAAAAATCCTGTTTTATTGCTATTTCAATCTCTACACAGATTCACCAGGCATGCAAACTGATCTGCAGAAAATGCAAACGCCACGTGACTGATCTAACAGGTCAAGTGGTCCAGGAAGGAACCCGGCGCTACAGACTCTGTAACGAGTGCCTTGCTGAAGTTGGCATAGACAGCCTCCCCATGGACCTGGAAGCTGAACAGCGTCTTATGTCCCCATCAGATGGAGATAAGGATCCCAGATGGCACTTGGGTGAAGATGAGAATAGATCGTATGTGGAGATTGTAGAGGATGGGTCTGCTGATCTGGTCATACAACAGGTTGACGACAGTGAAGAAGAAGAAGAAAAGGAAGTGAAGCCCAGCATCAGGTAGCTGAACGCGAACCAACAGAGCCCGCGTGTCTGCAGCTGGCACTGACTTCCTGTGTCTGTCTCTCTCTTTTCCATGGTCAGAGGCTGGTTAACGAATTGTCAGACTGACTTGAAGGAAATGACCTGGTACAACTTGCATGCTTTCTGAACAGGCCCTTGTATCCATTCTGAACTTTGTTGCCCTAAAATATGTTGCTGCACTGGAAAGAAAGACCTAGCTTGAGTTGGCAGGATAGGTGAACGATTAATCCTCTTACTTTCATTACAGAGATGCCTTTTTTCTTTTAATATTGGAAGATCTACTTAGCAAACCCTTTTCAAAGAAAATATTTTAAATAAATTTACCACAACCAAACTTTATGTAACATAATTTCAAGGTGTTTCAAAATCACATAAACTATCAATATTGAATTTTCACAGGGAACTAGGTAAGAGCACATTTAGGAGTCAGGTACCCAACCTGTCTGAATTAATGTCATTCTAGTAACTTAAGGTCCACACCAACCTATCATTCCGGTATCCTCAATGTTTTAGGATTACGGCAGAAGACAAATCTAAAATGTTTGAAATCATTCATATTTGAACTTTTTGTCATTAAGTTAAAAAATTACTCATATAGTTAGTAGTGTAAGAAAAGCCAAGACAGTACATGAAGTAGAGGCTGACCAGAGATTATATACAGGTACCGTTTTCTTGAAGCGGGAAACTAATACTGCCTAAAAGTCAAGGTAGTTTGTGACGAACTGTCACTATAGTACTCCTCTCTAAAGAAAAAAAACACTGAAGGAAACTGGAGGTTCTTACTAGTTCTTAAGAGCAGTTTCTAACATTTACTGCTTGTCTGTTACTTATAAAGCGCTCTCCCACACCCTTTCTCACCTAATTAGAAAGATAAATATTATTGTCTCTGATTTACAAATGAGGAAGGGACTAGTGATTGTACAGGTTTTGATTTTTTGTTAATATATCTTTATTGATTTCAGGGAGAGGAAAGGAGAGGGAGAGAAACATCAATGATGAGAGTCATTGATCGGCTGCCTCCTGCACGCCCCTGACTGGGGATCGAGCCCGCAACCTGCGCATGTGTCCTGACCGGGAATCGAACCCCGATTGCTTGGATCCTAGGTCAGTGCTCAACCACTGAGCCATGCCCAGCCTGGCCAGGTTTTGATTTTAAACAGTCCTCTTTCAACCTTGACTCCTCCTCATGTCCCCTGAAATGGTGAAGAATTGAAGCTGTACTTCACCAGTCTGCAGTAATTATAAAAGAAGCCTATCAGAATTAGAAAGTATGAAAAAAAGAGGAATTTAATCATCTTCAACAACATGTAATATTTTGAACTAGTTATTCAAAATAGTGCTAAGTAATATCCCTACAGTGTCTATTGACATGTTTTTATGTCATTATTTATATGTAAATTTTATATATAAAACTATCTGAACAAGTTATCTTAAAAACTTTAAGCATTTTTGCTTATCTTCTATATGTAATTTTTCAGAACAAACTTTTCCTCTTGGGATACAGTTAAGTTTAAACTCTTCTGCTGTATGAGTTATGGAATATTCCAAAATTACAGTGAAATTGAAGAAGCATTATTTTCGTTCTAAAGATAAAATCTATATACCAGAAGTAAAGAACTGACCTCCATCAAAGTCTCTGCAGGTTATCACAGTAAAGCTTGATATAATTCAATTTTGATAGAGGCGCCATGTATTATACTGTATCTTTATTTTTTAAAAATCCTTATCCAAGGACATGCTTAGAGAGAGGAAGGGGGAGAGAGAGAGAGAAAGAGAAAAATTGATGTGAGAGAAACATCAATCGCCTTTCATACTTGGCCTGACTGGGGAAGGAACCTGAAACCGATACGTGCCCTGACCAGGAACTGAACTGGCCAACCTTTCGGTGCACAGAACAATACTCAACCAACCAATCCACTCCAGCCGAACTATTATACTATATTTTTTAAATACAGCCTGACATACCTCAAGATACTTATGTTATTATTGTCTTATTTGATTGTCCTTGATACCAATTTGTGGACTAAAATTGTTAATTTCTAAAAAAAAATTTATACGTAGATGAATAACCAGTTTGTTTTTATGGTACTTAATTCTGAGACTTTTTCAAGATTCCTCTGATGGTAAATTTCCAGTTGCTTCAAGACTGGATGGTGTGCATTGAGTTCATTGCTTTCCCACCGTGACTGTTCCTGAATCAGGAGTCTTAACAATTAAGTTGTATCCCAATGAGGATGGGAACAGTTGTCACTCTTTAGTCTAGATGATGGTAACATCTTTGAAAATTATAATCTGACTTTTAGTGGTTGGAGCCAAAAGGAAACATTTCTGATTTGAGCTTTATTTGTAGAAATGAAGTAGTGCTTGCACGTGTGTACCCTGACACACTTTATAATCTAAATGTCCTTTTATTCTATTGTCTTCTGCATGCAAACTTTCCATATAGCAGCATGAATGTCAGCAAAGGCCACTGAACAGTGCCACCAGCACTTGAAGAGCCTTATCAGAAATAGCACTTTCTCACAATTGTTTATAACAAGCATCAAGCAGTCTCCACAGAACAGCTACCAAGCTCACCAAGTTCAGGACGTGTTTGCAAGTTGTAAATAATACTCGTCATATCATGTGTTTCTAAGACTTTAGAGACCAGTTCTTTTCTAGAGTGAAACTATTAATGGTTTCTGAGAAAACAAAATTGACTTTTAAATGTGGGAACATGTTACATAGGGGTATAATTTGTTAATACAAGCTTTATTTATGTCAAGGATTTTTTTTTTTTTTAACATTTGGAAAATGGAATTGGTTAGACCAGTTTGCTCTTGCAGGAGTGCTGTTTATCAGCTTCTGAACATCCTTCTAACTCTATGGTCCTGAAGAGTGTCTTGTTGATGGGATGAAGTTTTGCAAAAAGAAAGCACTCCTGCAGTTGTGCCTAGTGTCTGGAGGAAGTGAAATAGAGTAGGTCAGTAGTTTAAAAGATTCTCTTTAACCCAAGAAAACCCTTTTTTTTCCAATGAATTGTTTCATAGAGAAGCCCAACATTTAAGGAAGAAACTAAAATCACAGTGCTCTGGTTAAAGCCCCCTACAAGCCTTTCCCGACACCTTGGCAGAGCTCAGGAGTATAGCATTGAAAACCTCAGAACTAAACTTTTTGACTTCTCTTTAAGCATTAGTCTCACTTTATTACTCCTGTTACTTGCTGCACTTATAAGCCGGTAACCATGCGGTCTCTTAGAGCAGCAAATCATCCTTATTATACTGTGTTCCTTCTGTATTTATATCTTAAGATTATAACAACACATTTTTCAATGTTATGTTTTTGAGTAATAAAATCAAAACATAGTTATTTCTTTTGGGGGGGCCAAGTTACTGCTTAATTGATTTAAAAAGTTTCTTTATTCAATTACTTATGAGCTCAGAACTCAATTCATTAAAGTTATTTCACCAAGTCGTGCTAAGATATATTGAAATTTCTACTCATTGTTTATATTTTTTTGAGTGCTAAAATTAATACTATGGAAAAATCACTAAAAGCAGTACAGCATAAGATGTGTTTAGTTGGGATGGGTGATAATAATAGGTACTGAAGGACCAAAACTTAGATTTTAAATGCAAAGTTCTACATTATTTTATATTAGCGTGAATCAGTATTACTATTTATCATTTATATAGCATTTTATATTTGCAAAGTATTTAAAAATTTTTGTTATTCTTTACATATCTATGAAATAGGACAGTTATCCCACATGAAAGGTAAAGAAATCGAGGGACAGAACAGTTAAGCAACCTACCTAAGACAACCCAGTGAAACACAGGCAAAAATAGGAATTAGAAAGATCCAATATTTTGAATCCTGGAATATCTGCTTAATTCACTGAGGTGTGTTGTGTATTACTCTGTTTTATAAGATGTCTTTATACAAGTAATAGTCAATTGTTTTAAAGCTGACATTGTATGTGGATAAATCCTATACAGAATAAATATTATGTAAAGTATGTGAGTTTTTAAAAAATGTTTATTTCTTGATTTTTGGGGGGAGAGAAGTATCTATTTGTTGTTCCACTTTTTAATGCATTAATTGGTTGATTCTTGTATGTGCCGATTGGGGATCAAATCCCCAACTGTGGTATATCAGGATGACGCTCCAACCAACTGAGCCAAGACAGTTACAAGAATTTTAATGATAAAATTCAGGTTATCATAGAAATAGCACTGTTTAGCCAGCTTCTTTATGTCTTGTGAAGTATAATTAATATTTTATTTTGATACTGAAGTTTCTTAACTATTCATACTAGTGGAGCCACAAATATACTAAGAAAAATGGAATCCACAAAGGATCTGTAAACTTCATTTTCTAATATGTCAGTTTTCTCCCTACAGAACTTGTAATTAATGCCAAGAAGTCAAATATATTAATAAGCAATAAACCACACATAAAAGAAACAAAGGAATTCTTAACTTTTAAAGGCAAAATATTTTGAAAGGTGCTTATTTAAATAGTACGATAAACACTTTTCCCTATCCCTTTTTGTTTTCCCACATCAGCAAAATCATTGGATATTTTATCGCCTTTTAAATTTTATTTGTTCTATCCCCTTTAGAAAGGAAACCAGTGACCAGGGTAATGCTAGTCACCTCTTTACCTCTGGGATTGATTAGATCACTTGAAAACATTATTACATTGAATACAGCTTGTAAAATACATCTAAGAATTTATTAAACTTTGCTTTGTTCTTTCAGATTTCTAGATACAGAAATCCATTATATAGTTTTAGGTAATTTTTATAAGAACTTACTTGAGCCAAAACTGATGACATATGTCAGGGAGCAAGATCTCAGATACTCCCCTATTTGATATTATCTATAACTACTTAATTCCTTCATTAAAGAGTAACTTTTTTTTTTTTTTTTTTTTAAGAGTATTGGTTTTAGAGAGGAAGGGGGGAGAGAGAGAGACATCAACCTGTTGCCTCCTGTAAATCCTCAATGGTGACCACACCGGCCAGGGCCAAATAATTTTTTTAAATATGTTTTTATTGATTTCATAGGGAGGGAGGGAGAGAGAGAGAGAAAAATATCAATGATGAGAGAGTCATTGATCGGCTGCTTCCTGCAAACCCCTTACTGGGGATCAAGCCTGCAACCCAGGCACACGCATTTATGACGACTTTGGGAACTTCTATCACATACAAGGCAGAGGAATGAAATGACATCCTGTAGGAACTTTACATTCCAGGTACAGAATTACATGTGGCCAATAATGATGTGAGGTAGAAAGTGTTAGGTGCCAGAGGTACATCCACTTATTTTTTAACAAATATATTAGTATCTACTATTTGCAACCTCTTCCAACTACCCAGCGAGAATATCATATTTATTTAGTTTTTCCATAAAAACAAAAATGCTCCTTAATACCAACATGCTGACACATATATTTTTAAACTAACACATTTTTAAAGTTGTAATAAGTTATATATTTATTATATAAAGAAACATAATTTGTATTGCATAATTACATCTGACTTTTTTTACTGAACCCCATTATATAGCAGTGGTGGCAAGAGAAATGGCTGTGCTTTTTCTTCCAGTCAAGTTTGCACCCTGCTTGGCTTTATGCATCCCAAGAAGTCTTGCTTTAGGTATGGCCCTCATGGTATCCCCTTGTTCATTTTCACAATCAACCCCCCAAGTAGCCCATGATGTGCAAAGGGGTCCATGAAAAAAAGAGCCCCATCTCAGTCCAGAAATTCATCATAACAAAAGTAGACTCCAGACATTTTTTTGCTTGGAGGGCCATAATCCAAATTTGCAAAATGTGCCTAAGATTAAAGAAGTTTAAGCAGCACTACCCCAATGATCCTACTAGATATTAATTTGAAGAGCTTCAGGATCTTTGTCTAGCCTTTCTTGGCCCTACTCTGTTAATACCCAGGGAAAATAATGCAGTTCTCAGAGAGAACTTGGACAGCTCACAATCTCTTCCTCTTAGGTCAAGTTCAGCCTCCTATTATGATATCTGGCACCACCCAGTGGCAATCTTTTCTAATGTCCATGTGAATAAATAGCAACTTTGCAAAACTCTGGTATCATGGGAATGAATATTAATGAAGAAAATAGAATAATGTTGCATATCAAACCAACACAGTTTCATTTTTTAGAAGCTATCTACTTTGAAAAGTTCAGATCATTTTAAAGTTATTTTACTGGCTTACTGTCTTCTTAGAAATGAAGAGCTTAGATAGTTTTTAAAAACCAAAGAAACTTTTAAAAAAATTCTCCCATTCTCTAACTGTATAAATATACTGGTTTTAATATAAAATTATATGATAGAAGGGCCCATTTGTAAGGGCATTACATTTTTCTTACGGGAAAACAAGAAAGTGTCAATATATCAGTGCTTTAAAAAAAGTGAGAAAATCAGGGCTCTTTCTAGAGAAGTCCTCCTGTTGTTCAATTATAATTATTTCTTCTAGGACAACTAACTGGAATACAGGATGGCTCTGTCCCACAGCAATCTAAAATACAACCTCTCTTAATATACACATAGAAAATATATGTCTTAACCAATCTGGAGGGAAAGCAAAATCCTGATAGTAAGATTTCTCAAATTATCATTTTCTCCCCCAAACTGGATTCGATAACAGCATGGCAGCCTCAGAGTCTCTCAGGCTGCTGCTTACATCAATGATCCCTTTTGGGACCAGGCTGGAGGGCTGGCATTGGAAGGGTGTGAGGCACCTGCTGCCACAGCAGGAAATTAATAAACAAGGAACCATACTTGCTACATGAAGAATTCTTTAACGTTTGAGTATCTGGTTAATATATATCAAGACTATGCCTTGATTTTCCATTCTTGAAAGTCACACTTAAAGTAAAAAATTTCTGTCCTGCAAATCATCATGTATCATCGGATACTGTAGAATTTATATCATGGTATCTTCTCAAAAGGAAGAGAAAAACAGTTCTTCATAGGAGCATTTTTTTTTTATCTTAAATGTCAATGATCACAAAAACTTCTGGCTTCTCTTCAGTATAGACCTGCATTGCTGAGTATGTTATCGCCTTGACTTCAGTTCCCTAAAATTGGGATTAGAGAAAAAACAAATAGGAAACAAAGGACATAGAAATCAGAATCATTAACTCCAGCAACAATTAGCAGAAAGAAAAAATTTTATTATTCTGAAAAACTAAAAACTTACATAAAACAATTAGTTATCAAATTGGTATAATATTATACATTGATCCAATAAAAACAAGCACACAGTAGACAGAACACTGAAGTGGAGCTAGGAGGTGGAACTCTAATCCTAGCTTTGTTTCCACCTGGATATGGAAGCTGTCGGACCTTTCCGGGTATCAGTTTTTTCATTTATCAAATGGATTGAATCAAACAACACTAAGCTTTCCTACTGTTTGCTCAGGGCTCCCTCTCAAGTCTAACCTGGGCCCTAGGAACTCAGCCTATTCTCATCTCCTCAGCTGCCAATGCTCACTTTACCTCGTAGGGTTCTTCTCTCTCCACATGCTTCTGATACATGACAACACCCCACCCAAGTTTAGAGGCTACAGGATTTGATGTTCTCTTACTTCCTTCTACAATAAATCTTTTTTAAAAATGTGGATTTTTCTGTTGTTAATCCTCACCTGAGGATATTTTTTCCATTGCTTTTCAGAGAGAGGGGAAGGAGAGAGAGGGTGAGAGAGAGAAACATTGATGTGAGAGAGACACATCAATTGGTTGACTCCGGCAGGCACTGGGCTGGGATCAAGTCTGCAACCTGGGTACATACCCTTGACCAGGAATCAAATCCATGACCCTTCAGTGCACAGACCAACACTCTAACCACTGGGCTAATGTGGAATATTTTTTAAATATATATTTAAAATATTATTACTGATTGATTTTAGAGAGAGAGAAACGTCAATTTGTTGTTCCACTCATTTACGCATTCATTGGTTGATTCTTTTATGTGCCCTGACCAGGAACCTGCAACCTTGGCTTATCAGGACAAAGCTCTAACCAACTGAGTTCCTGGCCAGGGTCTTCTACCATAAATCTGTGCACCACAAAATGTATCAGGGAATAGGTGACTGGCATTTGCTAGCTTTATGGAACCAAAGAAATTTGAAGATTTCAGATGGGTTTGAATGGCACCCACGCCTCTGCTTTTCCACCCTCTGCCATAAACCCCTGGGGAAACAACCACCTCAATCAAACTCAACATTCTGCCTGTGGCAGCACACACCATGCTACCTGGCATCACCTTAAAAGTCTGTCCACAGTTCTCAAGAGGGTACTCAGACTGACCAGTAATCCTCCATTTACCATTAAATTCACTTTCTTACTCTGAGGCAACTGAAATTTCACATCTTCACGTATAGCCTCCCCACTTCATTCTCATTCTCTCAATTGTGCTTTCTAGAAAAAACAAGAGCAATCAATAAGAACTGACTCATCTTCCTGCCATCGAACCTACTATTCTACTGTATCTGTGCTCCCATCAGCCTTTCCTCCTGTTACAATAGCCAGTCCCTGCTCCTATCAGAAGGCTAACTTCACTTCAACACCCTATCCCACACTCCCCTACTCCCTGCCCTTACCAACTTAAGGTCTTTGCTCTGAAATCATTCTGTCCCTCTCCAGTATGATCAATTTTCCCCAATATACTAGGTCATTTTCACTTAGCACACAATGGTGCTACAAAACCTCCTAGTTAATACAAGGCAAGGCACAGAGCTTTCTTACTAGCTACACCCCCGTCTAGCTATTACTGTTCAATCCTTGTTCCCCTTTTCTGCAATCTCTTCAAAAGAACTTTCTCCATATACTGCCTCCCACTTTCCCACCTCTCATTCCTTCTTTGACTCACCCCAAATACTTACACACATTATTCCACTGATTAGTTAATTCATGGTCAATTCTGAATCCTTACTTTACTCAACCTGTGAGCAGCCTCAAGAGCATTAGCTATCTGGTTTCCAGGGCAGCCCTCTTTTCTTGTTCCCTCTCACTAGGCTCTCCTTCTTTTCTGTTCTTCCAAACTTAGTACCATGGGGCTCAGTCCTCTCTCCTACTCTCTCCCTTAGCTACCCTTCCTCCTGGGTAATTTTATCTAGTCCTATGGTTATAAATACCATTTTTTCAGTGATGACTTCTAAATCTGTATTTCCAGACACACCTATCTCCTGAAAAAGTCATTCTATAAACAAAGCCTATTATCTGGTATCTCCATTTGGATGTCTAATAAACATCTCAATTATAACATATTCCAAAAAAATCCACTGTGTCACTATGTATGTATTATAAATATGTTGTTTTCAATTTGCACATCCCTTCTACTAGTTTCTCTGTTTTATGCTTTTCTCTCCTGAGGATCCTGCACCGGGCTTCATTTCATTATATAATGGTTGAATTAATGATACTAGGATTTCCCGGTCACCTCCAACTAATTTAGGTCTCCTTGACCTAAAGACAAGGGTCAGCAAACAACAAACCGCAGGCCAAATGCAGCCTGCCACCTGTTTTTGTACAGACAGTCCCACGAACTAAGAATGGTTTTTACATTTCTAACTATTGAAAAAACAAAACAAAAGCAATATTTCATGACATTTGAAAATAATATAAAATTCACATTTCAATGACCATGAAGTTTTACTGGAACACAGCCATATTCATTCACTTATGTTTTGTTCATGCTGCTGCAATGTTACAACAGAAGAGGAGTGGTTCTTCCGCTGCTCTCCGCCCACAAAGCTTAAAACATTATCTGGCCCTTTACAGGAAAACTTTGCCTATCTCTATTCCAATAGATCTGACTAACACAGAGTGAAGCCACACAGGTTGGCAAGTACAGAATCTAGAGAAGCACAGAAGGTAGAAAGTCCGTTAGAGAACATCTAATCCAAAACCTCAATTACAGAGGAAGAAGTGAAAGCTCGAAAGGCAAAGGGACTTACTTTTAAGTCCCACAATATTCAGTAACAAACCTGACCTTAGAACCCAAGTGCTGACTCTTAATCCACCAGATCAGATGTGTGTAAATCAGTGTTTTAATGTAATATTTACAGACAAGTCAAAGATGGCTGAGAAAAACTTACTACTTTATACCAATTTATTAGATTCACTGAAGTTTACTGTTACATATACCAAACCTTATGGTAAGAGTGTACAAAATGTTTTTAATGGCTGGATTGAAAACATACCTGAGGATGCTTGGACAAAGAGAATTCTTCTCCCCACCTTGAAAAGGAAAATAAAATGTGATTAAGATTTCCAAAATTTAATATTTGTTCTCTCTTTACATATTTTAAAATAAGCCTTACAAATGTAGTTAAGATACTAGAAAGCCAAGAGATGGAAGGGGTATAAATTTCACTTTGACTGCCAGCAGATAAGCTACTGAGGGACTTAGGTGCAACAGTCATTTCAACAAGGTTGATAGTTAAGCTAAAAAAAAAGTGCCCTAGTATAGTGTACATAGGTAGACTTTAAATAAACACTCTTGCCTAGCTGGGCATGGCTCAGAGGTTGAGCATCAACCTAGGATCCAGGCAATCGGGGTTTGATTGCCTGGGTTGTGGGCTCGATCCCCAGTTGGGGGTGTGAAGGAGGCAGCTGATAAATGATTCTCTCATCATTGATGTTTCCACCTCTTTCCCTCTCCTTTCCTCTCTCTGAAATAAAAAAAGATATATTTAAAAAATAAACACTCTTTAATATTATTTCACAACAGAGTAGCATGTCCAAAATTTTCATGGTACTCAAGGCTATAGAACAAATGAAATATCACCTCCCACTTGGGAAAACAAAATAAGGGAAAATAACAGATTCTATAATACAGTCTGAACTTGGATTGAATTTTATAACTTTCAAAAAATGTTATATATGGTTTGTATATAGAAGGCACTACAAAGGTACTCTCCCAGAACCTGGCTAGAACTAAGTATCCTCTCTCCCTTCCATACTAATGTGGCTGAAGATCACAGTAATAGAAGCAGTAATAATAGTAAAAAGAGTTAAGTTTTAAAACTCTGTTCAACCATTTATTAGCTAAGTACCCTGGACAAGCTGATTTCCTCACCCTAAAAAAAGAGGAGTTAATGAAAGACCTCACTTTACAAAAAGAAATGTAAAATTCAACATCAAATGGAAAAAATAGGTTTCATATAAAAATAACACAAAAGATATTAAGTGACTAACGAAAGTTGTGAAACACCAAGTGCAATCAAAGTGACCTAATCAAGTGTTTGCAAACTCTGGAGGAAAAGAATAATTTAATAGAAGAAACTGGTTTGAATGGAGTCTAAGTGTGAAGATCTATGAGAAAAGATGAATCAGTGTTTCCTATCACTAAGCTAGGTTTTATGCAAATATCTGTGCCAACTAGCAATTACATATTTTTTGTGCTAAAAAATCAACAAATTGGGCCCAGCCAATGTGGCTCGGTTGGTTGGGCGTTGTTCTGTGCACTGGAAGGTTGCCAGTTGATTCCCAGTCTGGGCATATACCTGAGTTGGGGGTTTGATCCCTGGTCGGGATCAAGCATATGGAAGGCAACCGATGGATGTTTCTCTCTCACATTGATGTTTCTCTTTCTCTCCCTCTCTTTAAGCATGTCAGGTGAGGATTAAAAAAAAAAAAAAAAAAAATCAACAAATTGGGAATCAGGTTTAACAACTCAAATCAAGTCTATTCTGACAACTTTCTGGTCCTCCAAAGCTGAAGTAAGCTCTCCCTCCTAGGTCTCTAACAAAGCTTTAACTACTTAACCAATTGAAAAGCCCTACCTACTGGGATGCAATTGATCCTCTGACTTTTCTGTCTCCCTGCCTGCTAAGTGCAGTGAAGAATATAACTTAACATTTTTCATGACTTGCTAGTTAAAAGATTTTCAAAACTTACCCAATGGACCGTAATTTGAAATTTATTTGATCAATACTAAGTACTTTCACTTCCTAAAGAGGAAAAAAAATTATTTTAATTTTACAAAAATGTTCATTACGGACCATCTACTAAACACATGTCTAGGTTATCACCTTTTCTAGGTAACGGCATATAACTTCTATGATACAAACAAAATTAAAATATCGACTAATATAGAATTATAAACAACATATATTTCAAGGAAATAATACTTTATTCTTACATATTCAAGGGAGGTATTCTTAAAAATGTACAATCTAAAAACTTGAGTCAAAAGAATTTTTCTGTAAGATAGAGAATGACAAAAGATTTCAATCACTCTCAGTCTATTTTTTTCAATTTTATTGAGGTATAACTGACAGAACTCTCAGCCTATTTTTATGTAATACTGTAGGCACTTCAACTCTGTAAGATGAATGACCCAGTTGGAAGGGCACATGTAGTGGACCTGGTAAGGCAGAGAATGAAGGAATTATGGAAGCAAGGAGGGGCCATGTATGCTAGATAACAGTGAAGCTGGAGAGGTGTTCTCTTCTAGAGGTTGATGGCAACAAGCAATCTCCATCTGTCTTTTCTTTTTTCACATTAAGGAAAACTAAAAGCACCAACTTTTTAACTTAGGCCAACATGGCAGAACTCCTAAATTTCAAATGGGGCAAAAGGAACATATAAATGGACATAAGTATAGCTCCAACTTGGGAGACATAAGAAGTGTCAATAAAGGCAGTAGGTGTAGCCCTGGCTGGTGTGGCTCACTTGGCTGAACATCATCCATGTTCAATCAAAAGTTTGCTGGTTTGATTCCCGGACAGGGTACATGCCCTGGTAATGGGCTCGAGCCCCAGCAAGGGCTGTGCAGGAGCCAACAGATTAATGACTCTCTCTCATCATTGATATTTCTATCTCTCCCTTCTCCTGTCCTCTCTCTGAAATCAATAAAAAAAATACATAAATATATATATTAAAAAAAAAGACAGGTACATTCTTATCACACAATCCTGATTAGTGACACATATAATAAGAGATCTAAATACAAATGGCATATACATAGATAAGCTCAGGTTAACCAAGAAGAGCCTATGTTCATTATAATCTCTGCAAATAGGTATCACCATTACATATCTGTATGGCTTGATTTTGCATCACATGTTCTACTTTACATCACTTGTTCTATTTTAAAAATATGAACTAAGACGCCATTTGCTCAGTAAAAATAAAAAATCCTTACTTACCCGGGGTATGAAGAATTCATCAGCACTGAACTTATAAAGCCACTCATCCAAAAAGTGAAACAGAAGAGACTGTAAGTCATCTCCTACACAGAATCAAAAAGAAACAACAGTATGTTTAATAATTCTCATCTCTAAAAACTTGTTTGAATTTAAAAGTGCAACAAATTTCTTAGGCAAGTTGAAAGAGGAAGAACAGGCTCATAATCAATTTTGTTGTTCTTAGTGTGAAAATATTCTGAAATTATGTAGAATACTACACACTCGTATAACAATCTCTTCCTTGTAAATAAACTGGTTACCTTGTGTTTCTACTTCTATTGTTTGGAGGGGCTCCACTGTCCCAGTATCTGTCATGTAACCAAACATGGCCATTGCACACTGCTCAAATGCTTCCTCCAGAGTATCTCCCCATGCATGTAACCTAAAGAAATATATTCATGCCCTGTGTCATTGCAAGAGAAAAAACCTGACAACAAAGTCAAAATAAAATCAATATGAAAAATATAAAACCAAAGGCCTCAAATCAGTTTAATGGCACTGAAACTGGGTGCTTTTAAAGCATCATTTTCATATTCTAAAGGAACCAAAACAGGAGAAAAATTAAAACTGGGGACATTAAGATTAAAACATCAGCCTTCTTATTTAAGCACATGGTTTCAAAGGCATAAACTCCAGCTATACTCACTGGACATCTGCTGTATGATCCAAATCTGCGGGGGAGAGTGAAAAACACTTATTAAGTAACTAAACTTGCTAATCACAAGAAAAGAACTCTAGTTCATTATTAAGAACATCAACCTTGAAGAGAGAGAAAACGTGGGCAGATCACACCTTTTGCTATTCATTTACACAAAAGTTAATTTCTTTATTAAGGGTTATTTTTAATTTTTAAAATTTCTTCTAAACATTTTCAGTTCTTATTGTGTTAATGTGAATTAAATAAATGGCTAAAGAACTAACAGTAGCATAATATTAGCATATTAATGCTAAAGGGTTATTTTTGAATAATCCCAAAATTTACATATAAAAGAATGACAATTTCTGGAAGGCAGCAGGGCCTTGATCTCCTAGGTGACCTAAAAAGTGTCTAATATATTATAGTTTTTCAACAAACAAGTGTCACTTCCTGACATTAGTTACTTTTCCTCAGAAATCAGTATCTTTTCTAAATATCTACTGTGTGAATGATTGAAATTCTAGAAACTGTATCATCATCAAAGATACAAAATTTAAGATTTCCCTGTCTCACATTTTCATGAACAGCTAGTCAAATCCCAGATAAAATAGTTTTTGGGTTTTTTAAACAAGAGCCAAGTTTTTAATTTGTTGATTTCTTGCATTTGAAGTACTCCTCGATGATATCCTTGGCAGATACAAAGTAGTTTTAGAAAGTAAACTCTCCGATATATATTATGAGTTTTTTCCTGATATTCTCACAGGAATACCAGTAAGTAACAACTGCCACTACAGCAAGCTCCCGCTGGACCTGTTATCTCAACATGTCAGTCTGTTCTTCACTGGTATTAATGACTTCCATCAACTCTTCCCACTTAGGTCATAGAATACTCAGGGCGGAAGGAAGTCTTGAAGATCATTTAACATATAAGTCCTTCACTTACAAAAAGAAACCTGAAATCCAAAGATTGTGTGAGTTGTTCAGGACTACACTGTTGATTAGAGGCAGAGCTGGGACTAGAATTGAGATTTCCTGACTCCCAATTTAGTGCTCTTTACACCATAACATATGATCTCCTGATGGTACTCAAGGTTCAAACACATCTCTAAATCACTCAGATGTATTATTGAGGACTTCATATGTTTCAGGCACTAAGGAGCTCATAACCAGCAGAGATAACAAGTTAAAAGAAAATGACTAGCATTAACCCTAGAGAAATGAAAGCATGTATCCACAAAATGACATATGAGAATATTCACAGCAATTTTATTCCCCCAAATTAAAAATCCAATGTCTGTCAAGAAAACAGGTAAAACTGAGGAATACAATGCAATACTACTCAGCACTGTATTAACATGAATCTCAGAAACGTTAAAAGCATCATTTTCAGATCTGTCAGCACCTTGTAACTTCATTCAAAACCCCTCTGCACTGAGACCTGGCCAAACTTGAGCATGGCTTCCAGCAGCATCAAGTCACCCACCTTCCTAGGATTACACACCTCGTCCCTACTCCCTTTTACAGTGTCTGCCTGAGAAAGTGCAACACAGCCAGAAGAATTTACTGTTTGTTCTAGACAGCACCTGGCCATAGGCCCTTGACATCAGTTCCTTAGAACATTTACTGAAAAGGGCTTACATAGTGAATATTTACCTCTTACAGCTCAGAAGTGTTCTTCTCAAGGACTCCAGAGCCATTCCTTCGAAATGTAATCATGAGGAAGGACCCTGTCTCAGTGGGGGGATAGAATCCTAACTTTGATAACTGCCAACTAGCAAACACTGGCTGGCCTAATCGAATTTACACTGATCCAACTTTTCGTAAATTTTCACTTCTGAGTCTCTACTGAGCTCCCCCCTCTTCCTCCATCCCTCATTATCCCTTTAAAAGGCCCAATCAGCTCTGCTCAAATCAGAATGGAGCTATATCCCATACTGTCAGTAGTTAATAAATAACATCCATTCATCACTTGAACGTCAGTCTGTGTTTAACTTTTTTTTTTTAATGTGTTTTTATTGATTTCAGAGAGGAAGGGAAAGGGAGAACTAGAAACATCACTGATGAGAGTCATTGATCAGGTGCCTCCTGCACGCCCCCTACCATGAATTGAGCCCGAAACCTGGGCATGTGCCCTGACGGTGAATTGAACCATGACCTCCTGGGTTCAGGGGTGGGCACTCAACCACTGAGCCACGCCAGCCTGGCTTTAATATTGAGTGAATAAGCCAGACATGAAAGAATCTATACTGTGATTCTACTCATATGTGACTATTGTTTTGTTTTGTTTTGTTAATTCTCACCCAAGGATATTTTTTCCATTGATTTTTAGAGAGAGTGGAAGGGAGGGAGAGAGCGGGAGAGACAAAGAGAGAGAAATATCGATATGAGAGACACACAGATTGGTTGCCTCCCAGACACCTGACCAGGGCTAGGGATCAAACCTACAACCCAGGTACGTGCCCTAGACCAGGAATCAAAACCTTTGGTGCTCGGGCCAACACTAACCACTGAATAACAATGGTACATCTTTCAGTCATTCTTTTGAGAAAAAGTGGTGTTCTGTGAAAAAAACAGTTCACAACTCAATTACACAAGTGCTCTGCCTCAAGATAATCAATACTTTTGACACAGCAGAAACACTTTATGAATATTTCCCATTTTGTTACACAGAATGTTAAAAAGGTCTGTACTCAATGGCCAAGATTTAATAAAATAGTTCTTACTGATTCATCAAGAACATTTGTAATTGTAAGTACACAATAATAAAGAATACAATGGCTACCAGCAGTTTGGTGCCGTGCTTCAATTTGTGCTAAGGGGCCAGGAGTATTATCTACCATTGTTTTTGCACCACCAGTGTAAATATCATGGTGAAAAGAGCAAATGACATCTCAGTATTATTACAAATGTGTTTTCACATCACAGATCCTCTGGAAGAATCTGGGGAACCCCAGGGGTCTACTGAGCACACTTTTAAAAACATCTATGATGAGAGAGCACAGAGATAACAGTAACCTAGACTAAGGGGTTCAAGTAAGAATTCCCAAAGAAAACAAGACTTAACACTTTAAATGGCAAAAAACTAAGGGTGATCTATACCAGCTTGCTCATTTTTTAAAATAGATTTTTATTGATTTCATAGAGAGGAAAGGAGAAAGAGAAATATCAATGATGAATGAGAGTCACTGATCAGCTGCCTCCTGCATGCCCCCTGCTGGGGATCAAGCCGGAAACCGGGGCATGTGCACTGACCAGGAATCGAACAGGGATCTCCTGGATCCTAGGTCAATGCTCAACCACTGAGCCACACCAGCTGGGCTGCTCATTCTTTTATTCTCAATTTCTTTTTCTTCTTTTTTTAAAATATATCTTTATTGATTTCAGAGAGAAGATGGGAGAGGGAGAGACAGAAACATCAATGATGAGAGAGTCATTGATCGGCTGCCTCCTGCACACCCCCCACTAGGAAGTGAACCCCCAACCCAGGCATGTGCCCTGACCGGGAATGAAACCATGATCTTCTGGATCATAGGTTGATGCTCAACCGCTTGCTGAGCCACGCCCAACCGGGCTTATTCCCAATTTCTGCTCAGTGGTTGATACACAACTGGTTCTCAAAAATATTGCTGAATGAATTAGATGACAACTGAACTGAGTTAAAGAGGAAAAACAGACCTACAGAGTATTAAAAAAATAATAAGAAACGAGAAACAGGCCCAAGGTGAAGTTGACTCCAGGACAGCAAAGCAAGACTAATATCAGCCCCACCCAGAAATGTGACCTTAAACCAGCCTGGAATTTCCTGTTCATGCTAGTGAGGTAATCTAATCTGCCTGACAAGCCCCTGCCACCTTTCCCACAAAGAAAAAAAGTGCCCTGGCCTGAAACAATTTCTTTTCTTTTGCTAATAACTTTCTTGTCATTCCAGTTTCTGCCTATAAAAATCTTCTATTTTGTACAGCTTCTCAGAGCTTCCTTCTATTTGCTAGTTGGGATGCTGCCTGAGGCATGAATCATTTAATAAAGCCAAGATCTTCAAATTTACTCAGTTGAATGTTTTTAATTGATTTTGAGAGAGAGGAAGAGAGAGAGAAACACTGATGTGAGAGAGAAACATGGATCAGCTGCCTCAGGCAAGCACTCCGACCAGTAACAAACCTGCAACCTGGATATGTGCCCTGACTGAGAATTGAACCCACCATCCTCTGGTATATGGGACAATGCTTTAATCAACTGAGCCACACCAGCCAGGGCTGAATTTTGTTTGTTTTGCTGTTATTGTTGTTAATCCTCATGGGAGGATATTTGAGAAAGAGTGGAAGGGAGAGAGGCGG